TAGAGTTACTACAAAACACGTTGGTAATTGTGTTCTCGTATAGAAAAAGAAAAGAAAATATATCCAGAACGAAAAATAGGAATCCTACAAAACCTTACCGTAAGATTTTGTAAGGAATGCATAAGATTCCTATTTATAGGAACCCTATAGGATTTTTGCTACCATCCTGTATCAAGAATCGTATGGAATTCCTGCTGCAGGATTTTATGGGATCCTACAATAGGAATCCTACGAAATCCTGTTACCAGTAGGATCCTATAGGACCCTGTAAGAATCTAGTAGGATTGCGTGACCTAGGTGGCCATCGGATATAAGACCATATAGAGTCATAGATTCTTCCTTAAACAACTATGGTCAAGGAGGAAAAAATTCTAAGTGTGAAATATTCTCACTTATATTTACACAAGAGTGTAAAACAAAACGATGATTCAAGAATTTCCAAGATCTTGGTACTGGAGGTCGAGAAATTACAAAATGTTCAAGATCTTGACTTCCTGAAATTTCTTGAATTCTTATATTTTCTTACCAAGATCTTGAATCAAAATCTTACTAAAAAAATTCAAGAAGTCAAGATCTTGGTTACAAGAAGTTCTATTAGGGAGGTCATTTTCAAAAACATGAGGCTTCTTTTTGATTTTTAGACATTCAAGTGTTTGTCCTAATGGTATGAAACAAATCTTACGCGTAACTAGAGATTAACCGATGAGCGGTTATAACCGATATGTCGGTCACGTTTTGATCCTATGATTAGAAATCTCTGTCTTCTACTGATACAGAAATTTGAATAATTTGAAACAGAACTCAGAAAGATGTCTCCTATAACAGGTCCGAGTCGGAACTCTTCGTCAAGTAAACTGGAATTTGTTAAACGTGCTGACGACCGAAGATACGATGAGTTTTGAACTGTTGATAATCCGGACACAATACTTTGTGAATCCGAACGATCATAACCACTATCTAATGAACTTGAGTGACCATCAATATCATTGACAGTTACAACTGTTAATTCTTTTTTATACGTTGATGGTAAAGGATCATTAAATGATGATTTTGTTGTTAACAGTAGATCATCGGTAGGTGATGATATTGTGAAATCAGTTTTTGGAGTTTGATTAGTCGATGATCTTTTACGATGAACAGTTTTTTTTAGACGTGTAGGGGAATGTTCAACAAGAGGATTTGAATTAAATGATGATATGGTAATTTCGGGTAGTTCATCAGCTTTTTTATTTAATAATGATGAACTTCTCAAATGTTTAATGGATGATTCTTGTCTAGGAGG